TAAGTTTGCCCTCCTTATATATGAAGTAGCAAACTTCGTTCACAGTAACCCTAAATTGTTTAACAAACTATCAGACGTTACAATTCGCAATCGCCGAGATAATAACAGGTTATTTAAGCTACATCTTAAAAAATATCTGATAGCCAAATGTTATTATAGCTGGCCCGATTTCTTAAATGATTGATTTTTTTAAGCTAAATTTTGAATTGTGACATTTCTCTAATGTAATCTTAGGAGATACCATTGAAATTAATGCACATCTAGAATTAGGTCCGTAGGGTTAGTTTTTTTTTTATAGGATTGGGTGACAAACGAGCACACAGTCCACCTGATGGTAAGTGGTTGCTGCGGCCCATAGACATCCACATCTATCCTCGTTGCGAATCAAAATGCAGATGCGTTGTCACCCGTGAGGACTAAGATGGAATGCCTCTTTTCCAGTAAAAAGGGTCTCCGGTTCTCTACACTCACCATACGAAACACAGCAGCGTTAAGCTGCTATTTTACGCTGGTATTCTGTGAGAGCGTGGTCCTTCCCCGGTCGAGCCGACCCATAGTTGCAGCATGGCTCTATCACGTTGAAAATCTTTATCTGAAAAGTTTATCTTATATAACTAATAAAATATGAAGTATAATCTTTGTACGCCATAAATGGCAAAACATGTAGCTCGTTTTAAGTATTTTAACACCTTTATATTTTTACTCACGTTTTACAAAATAAATATCTTTATCTATAAATAAATGAATTACTACTGTCTATTAAAATGAAGCGTCATTTAAAATAAAATAATATTTGTTTCATGACAAGATAAGAAAAGGCCAAGGCCGTCTACACTACGTCAGATGGGGTCGTGACGGAGAAAAATCTTACAATTTTTCTCGTCTAGCCCCCATCCGCCAAATTCGTACCGTCCGATAAGGAACTTCGTTCCAAAAACTGCGGCCAACGCTCCTGCTAACCCGTGGCATCTATGTCAATTACTCCTATTACGGATCGCCGTAACGCCGTTCGAAAAATGAGTGAAACACGTTGGTCTTGCTTACTACTGGAGGCAAGCGGCGGTGAGGAGGAACTTTTTCTTTTCTTTCTTGTTGTTTCTTTACTGTAGCTGGAGAGCGACTGCCGACCGTTCTTTTTTTTTTTTTTTTTGCGCCCGAAGCAATTGGAAAAGGGCTACCCTTTATGTAGGGAGGCGGAAATGCATTACGCATACCACGACAGCCGGTCTATCGCGGGACTCACTGTGACTACCTACTGGGGAACCTAAGTGATACCCACTAAAACCGCCTTTGGGGACTGGCAACTAGCTGTTTAAAGCTTCTTATGCCGTATCAGAAGCGACCCTCTTTTGGGAAAAGAGGGCGCAGGCGGCTATTAGCCGCTGAGGGAGTGCCTACGAAGGCAAATTAATTATGAATAACTTAATTAGAGTTGGCCTGAGCCGCCAGGAGGCAGTTCAGGTCGTTTGAAAGTTTATTAGGCGGGTCCGAGAGGGAGTTCCTCGGCCTGCGGACGCTATAGCGGGAGGGGAGTGGGGCTGCATAATTAGCAGCCTCACGAATAAAATGATTGGAATGCGACTCTGAGGCTTTGAAGAAGTTCTCAGAGAGTTTTTTAAGGAATTGTTGAATTGTAGGGAGCTCTAGGTCCCGATGAAGGTCGGCATTGCGGACGTACCAAGGTGCGTTCGCAGCTCGACGACAGAAAAGGTTTTGAACTACTTGGAGTTCATTAATAATTTTAGGGTCAGCGTGGGCAAAAATGGGGCCCGCGTAGGACATAACTGGTCGTATACAGACCTTATAAAGGGTACGCTTGTTTCTGAGGGACATTTTACTGTGTCGGCCCAACATACTGTTGAGCCTATTCAGGTAAAAACGTGCGTGACGGGTTACTCTTTTGACGTGGGGCCTGAAAGTTAGCCCTGTGTCTAGAGTGACACCTAAATATTTGGCAGACGTATGCCAGGGGACAGGGGTCCCTAGCATACGTATTGGTGGAGTGTTTTTGAGACGGCGTCGTTTATAATCGAAGTGAACGGCGGAGCTCTTCTCCGGGTTCACATCGATGCGCCATTTTTTGAACCAAGCTCCTAGGTCATCAACTGACTTTTGGACCTTGTTCCGTATGAAAGGTAGCGAGATACCTTTACAGTAGAGAGCAGTGTCGTCTGCGAAGAGGGAGAGCTGAACACCTTTCGGCGGAATGGGAATGTCGTTGGTGAACAGTATGTACAGCAGAGGAGCAAGTACTGAGCCCTGAGGGACACCAGCTTTGATGGGGCGCTGTGAAGATAGCGTGCCTTCGTGTCTAAAACGAAAGGTACGATGATTAAGATAAGAGGCCACGAGACGTACTAGACGATCGGGGAGACCTATTTTGTATAGTTTGTAGATTAGGCCTGTATGCCAGACTCTATCGAAGGCTTTGGCGATGTCGAAAAAGACCGCGATAGTCTTATGACGACGGGGATAAAAACCGCTGAGGATATATTCCACAATACGGTGAACTTGTTGGGGGCAGGAGTGTTTCGCTCGGAAACCGAATTGATGGGGAATGATAAGAGGGTCACCGTCTGTGGGAAACAGATAGCGCCTCATGCGATTTTGGATGACTCTTTCAAAGAGCTTGCCCATGGCCTTGAGGAGGCTAATGGGGCGATGACTGGAGGGGAGGTTGAGAGGCTTGCCTGGCTTGGGAATACCAATCACTGATACGGCCAACAGCTGCCCTGCCTCAACAGGAGTTGGATCCTTCGCGGCCCATAGACGAAGGAGCTACGGGCAGATGCTGGTCGGGCGTTCCTACGCCGAAGGTCAAATGTTTCTAATGAACACACGAGGGGAAAGGTCACTAGGATAAATGCACTTACCTGCCCCAGGAGCGCAGACGATTCTCCTCGACCGGCCCGGCTGATGACAGTGTTGTGAGTGTATGTGTAATTGTATGTGCTGGTATGTTGACGGGAACCGATCTGGATGACGCAACGACGTCCGGGAGAAGGCACGCGCTGGTATCCCCGGAACTTTCCCCTTCTGGAGGCACTCGTAATGGGTTGTCACGAAAATGGGACAGCTACTCGTAGTCCTTCAGAGGTAAATCACTGTGATAGTTGCACGCGAATTTAACCGAGTTAGTACGTTCTAATAACGATACCGTTATTGCAACGATTTACGCGGATTGTTCCTTTAGCAAAGTTAGGCGCGAAAACATACGTCCGTATAGCTCGCAAGAAAATCCTACTATATTCGCGAGAAGTGCCACGCCGACGCGTCCGGCGGCCGGGGGGGGGAGCGGGGGAGAGGGAAGGTGCCCTTGATAGCGAGGCCAAGCGCGCGCGTTAAAAACTACGTTTTTATTGTAAATTTTTCCTGCCTAAACAACCCCCCGCCCCGGACATAAGGCATTAAGTCCGCGAGTAGATTGGCAAACGGGACAAGGTCGCGACGGCCCGTTGCAAGACCGAATCTCCGACCAAAACCTCGGCCACTCTAGGCACCTCATCCGTTCCATACGACAGTTTAACAATGCGCCCACGGCGCCAATACAAAGGTAGCGCGTTTGGTTCTTTAATCAACACGAGGTCTCCCACCCGAGGAGGCTCCGTCTTGTCAGACCACTTAACGCGCTGCTGCAAAAGATGCAGGTACTCCAGAGACCATCGGTGCCAAAAGCGTTGAGTCATCTGTTGCAGCAGGGCAAACCTGCTAAGCCGTGAAGCACTCGTTTCCCTGAAGGGATACTCGGGCAGAGCGTTAAGAGGCTGGCCAATCAGGAAGTGTCCCGGGGTTAGAACCTCCAAATCATTCGGGTCAGAGGAGAGGGGACAGAGGGGCCGAGAGTTGAGTACCGCCTCAATTTTACAGAATACAGTGGCGAGCTCCTCAAATGTCAAAATGGCTTCACCAATAACGCGACGGAGATGCGTTTTGGCAACCTTAACCACCGCCTCGAAAATACCGCCCCAGTGGGGACACGCCGGAGGGTCGAATTTCCACTGGATGCCCCTTTTCGACATAGCATTTCCTAAATAAGTCCGGTGGCTGGACAGAAATTCGACGACCTCCTTGAGATACCTATCCGTGCCCTTATAATTCGTCCCGCAGTCCGACCGGATCAAGTCCGGCAAGCCGCGCCGCGACACGAAACGGCCAAGCGTGGCCAAGAAGGCTTCCGTGCTGAGGGCGCTCACCAGTTCCAAGTGAACGGCTTTAGTGGAGAGGCACACGAAGACGCAAAGATAGGCCTTACATGAACGCGCGTTACGAAGGTTAGAGGACTTGACGAGGAAGGGGCCAGCGAAGTCTGTTCCGACCCCAGCGAATGGTCGGATGGCCCTGACGCGGTCGGGCGGCAAGTCACCCATCAGAGGCTGCGATATGGGGGCCTTCAGTTTATAACAGGGGATGCAATTAAAGATGACGCTCCGAATGGTGCGCCGGCCAGACAAAATCCAAAACTCCCGCTGCAAAATAGCCGACAGGGCGTTACACCCAGCGTGGGCATTCCTAACATGGTGGTGGGTCACCAGCAACCGGACAAGGGCGCCGTTCTTAGGGAGCAGCAACGGGTGTCGAGCCCCGCACGGCAGTTGAGAGTTTTTCAAACGTCCGCCCACGCGCAGCATCCCAGCGTCGTCCAGAAAGAGGTTCAGGCGGGCCAGAGCGCCCTTGATAACGGAGCCACGCTTCAAGTTTTCGATAACGGGCTCAAAATGCTCCGTCTGGACCATACGGATCCAATGCATCAGGGCTTCCCGACGCTCGCTAGGGGACAAAACGCAATCAGAGAGTCGGTTGGACGGATCTCTCGAATTGTGGACAAAGCGGCGCAGCCAAGCAGTCACTCCTAAGAGCTTATCGAGAGAGCTGTACCGTTCCAGAAGGGAGAGATCCCGAGTGGGCTTATCCTTGCCCACTCCTACTCGGGCCCGTAGGCCCGGCAACTCAGTAGGTTCGGAGTAATTACCCTGGGGCCAGAAGGATTGAGGATCAGATAACTAACCGGGACCCCACCACAATGAGTGGGCAACAAGCGCGGGGGCCTCACAGCCGCGGGAAGCGCAGTCGGCGGGATTCAACTCCCCGGGGACATGTCTCCAGTGGAGAGAAGTCTCAGAACTCTGGATTTGAGACACGCGGTTCACCACAAAGACCTCAAGATTGTGAGGTGCGGCTCGGAGCCAACAAAGTACTATCTCACTGTCCGACCATGCGTAGACGTCCGTAATGTCGATTACAGGCTTCAAGGACGAGTGAACGTGGTTGAGGAGCCGCGTGAGAAGAGCGGCTCCGGACAGTTCCAATTTAGGGATAGTTAAACGGGATCTAATGGGGGCAACCTTGCTTTTGGCGAGTACGAGATGAACTGCAGTATGCCCAGAGGAACTCACAGTCCGCAAATATACGACAGCAGCATAGCCCTTCTCAGAGGCGTCGCAAAACCCATGTAGGGTAGCCCTGCATTTCCCTGGAGGTAGGAAGCACCTTGGCATGGAAACCCGGTTGATGTCCGGAAGGGAGGAGAGCATGGAGAGCCACTCTCGCAAGAGGACCCCGCTAATAGGCTCGTCCCAACCCAACCCGGACATCCAGAGCTTTTGAAGAAAGCACTTAGCCAAAAAGATGACCGGGGTGATCCATCCATTCGGGTCGAAGGTGCGAGCTACTGTAGACAGCACGGAGCGCTTGGTCCATGCTTTGGGAGGTGGGTCAAGTTTTACTCTATACGTGAAGGTGTCCTGAACAGGCTGATATTGAATGCCCAGCACAGTCAACAAATTAGGATTCTCAGGGTGCTCGAACAGATGAGGGTCTTGTTGATCCTCTCCTGGGAGGTCCCTCAAAATGTGTGGGGAGTTCGACAACCACTTGCGCAACTCATAGCCTCCAGACTTCAGGATGGCAATTAATTCGTCTCGCAAGACCAGAGCCTCCTCGACGGTGGAAGCGCCCGTACAAATGTCGTCCATGTAGACCGAAGTCTCCAAGATAGAAGCTCCCCGAGCGTATCTCAGGCGCTCTCTCTCAGCGAGTTCAAGGAGGGTTCGCATGGCGATATACGGGCTGGACCGGAGTCCATATGTGGTGGTGTTCAACTCAAATACCTGTATGGGATCGCTGGGCTTCTCGCGCCACAATATCAGCTGATATCGGCGGTCATCACGATGTACCACCGATTGGCGAAACATCATCCGAATGTCCGCGACAAAAACCACTTGGTGTCGACGGAATTGGGTCAGGATGTCGGATATGTCCTTGATCAGTTTAGGACCCGAGTGAAGACACTGATTCAGGGACACACCGTTTGATGTGGGGGCGGAACCGTCAAAGACTACCCGAATCTTACTCTCAGGGGTCCTCAAGACCGCATGGTGAGGGAGGAAGTAGTGCTCATGTGAACGCCATTCGAAGTTGGACGGTGACATGTGACCCAGCTCCTGATACTCGCGCATGAACTCGACATATTTGTCGCGAAAGGCTGGGTCACGCCGCATGCGGCGCTCCATGGAAAGCAACCTCTTCTCGGCCAGAGCACGGGATTGACCCAAAGAGGGGCGGGAGTCCAGAAAGGGTAAGCGAGTGACGAAACGACCGTCAACCCGCCGGCCGGTATTGTTCTGGTAGAACAACTCACACTCACGGTCCAGAGGGTCGACTCGAGCTGCATGGGGTGGTTCCTCAATGTCCCAGAATCGCTGGACGGCGTCCGATAGGGACACGCCCACGACGGAGAGCGGGTCGGCCGTCGGAGGGGGAGGAGACCACATAACCGGTCCAAAAAAGCTGTGCCCAAATATCGTGGAAATGGCTGACAGGCCATCGGGCTGCAGAGCTCGTATCTCACCTAACAAGAGGGCACCCAGCGTGTCGGCCCCCAGTAACAAATCTATCGGCCCAGGTTGGGCTCACCGAGGGTCTGCCGGTCTCAAAGCCGACGCACAGCGCACAGCGCTGTCATTTATACGAACGTTAGGGAGGAACCCTACAATGTCGTCGAGGACATTTACCTTGACTAAAATACGAAGGTGTTCGCTGTCAGGGCTGAACACCAACTCCGCTTGTCCCCTAGGAGCAGGAGGCTCGGCACCTCCGATACCTACCATCGGACGTGATTCAGAGCTCCAGGGGAGCCCCAGTCTTCCCACCAACCGAGTAGAGGCCACACTACGCTGGGAACCCGAGTCCAATAGAGCTCGAACCGTTAAGTGGTCGCCGCTCGGGTTGTAAACCTTCACTGAGGCTGTCGGCAATAGAACAGTTTGACAGGTGGACTGCTGACGACTTATAGGCTCAGTGGAGGCGGCCATGGCGGGAGCTAGGGCGGCAGCCTCCTATCTGGAGCTGCCTCTGTTAGGCCGGCACCCGAACCGGGGGCCCCGAGCGCGGCACTCCGACGGCGTCTCGATGACCCCAGACTGGAATTCCCCGAACGGGCCGACCGAGGGAAACTCGGGGATCCTCGGCTCCAAGGCCCGGGGCCGATACGCAGTCTCCGGAACCCGGTAGTACCGGCACCGGCCAAAGGGGGGCGGGCGGCGTTCCAGTCGCGGCCACTCAGCCAACGGGGGTGAGAAAGGTCTAGCTGACCGCTGAGTGGCCGCGAATCCACTATCAACTCGAGGAGGGGGGCTGAAGACCCCCCCGCCCCTGGGGGAACGACTCCCAGACCGATCGGGGGAGGGACTCCCCTCAGAAGGAGGGGCGCTGTGGTCCGCCGGTGAGCGCCAAGCGTCGCCCGACAGTGGGCATGGCTGGGCGCCCCCGCCCGTGGGAGTCGGGGGGCTGGCAGGGCCCTGCGAGGACGAGCCGCGCGCACCCAGGCACAAGAGGACGTTGTGGTTGCCCTGGCAGTGCGTGCAGGGCCGCTGGTGCGGGCAGTCTCGTTGTAAATGCCTCTCCAGGCACGAGAAGCACCAGCGGCGCTCCCTGGCGATGGTTCGCCTCGCCTTAGCCGGCTTGCGCAACAACTTCGGGCACGACGCCGGCCGGTGGTCTGATGCTCGACAATAGGAGCAGGGAGGCGCCTCCCGGGCCGCTAGGCCACTATAGGAGGGTACGGGGGGGCGCCCTCCCGCGGGGGCTCCACTCGGCCTCAGGGGGGTGGGCGCCGCCTTGGCCGGCTGACTCCGCCTTTCCCTGGGCACCGCTCGGGAGGCGGCCGGGGGGCCTTCGACGGCGCCTGCTGCGTTCTCCAGCAGCCTGCACTGCTCTTCCAGGAACCGCAGCAGGTCCCTAAAGGGGGGCATATAAGAGGCGCCATCCCCTCCGAACCTCTCCTCAAAATGGAGCCGAAGGTCGAGGGGCAGGCGGGACAGCACTATATGAAGGAGCAGAAAAGACCACTCGTCCACAGGTAAATCCAGCCGCCGCAACGAGTTGCACGCTACGACGACTGGATTCACTATGTCTTCACGTAGTCTAGTCCGGTCCTTCAGCAGCGGGAGGTTCAGCAGCCTCCGAACATGATCGTCCGCAATCCGTCGGACGTTGGCGTACCTTCCAGCGAGGAGGTCCCTGGCGTTTTGGTAGGCGTCGTCCGACAACTTAAGGTGGCCGACGACGCTCAGGGCCTCCCCCTCTAGTGAAGCCAGGAGGTACCCCATTTTTTGGCAGGGGGTCAGGTCCCTCCGGGCGTCCACCAGGCTGTCAAACAGGCCGACGAAGGTCATCCACTCCGAGAGGACCCCGGAGAACCTTGGCAGGTCCAGCGTCGGAAGTCGTCCTAGCAGCTCTGGCTGAGCAGACGGCTTCCGCGGGGACTCGAGAAGGCTACTCAGCCGAGCTTCGCGCTCCCTCTCCGCATCCTTGGCCCCCGCCTCGATCAGGTCGTCCGTTAGCGCGAGGAACTGCTCGTAGTCCGCGCGGCAAGATTCCAGGACTCCCTTTTCCACCTCCAAGTCCTCGAGCTCAGAGTAAGCCTCCTCCACGGCCGCCCTTCGAGCATCGACCTGCTCAAGCCTCTTCCTCAGATTGTAGACCCTGTCCGGTCGGCCTATCAACGCGTGTGCGCTGGTAGCCCAGCGCAGCTCAGTCCGCAGGCAACGGATTAGCATCTTGGGCGAGGACATCACTACTAAATCCAAATTACGACGCGGCTCGAGCACAATTACAACAATAACAAATAAAAAATACAAAAAAATTAACAGCTAACTAATGCAGTTCCTATCAAATCGAGTTGAATAGAATGTACACAAATAAGAACCGCTATTATTAAATCAAACACAAGTTAGTACAAAGGAAAAGGTAAATCAAATTAACAATAACAAATACTAGTACGATCAAATCAAGTTAATTTAAATTACGTAAATACAAATTACCACTCTTTAGTTCAAATACAATTTACAATACGAAAGATACATAACGAAGATACACATCAACAAAAATGCCTTGCTCGGAAATCAACCCTTCGATAAGTAACACACTACCATCCGACAACGACAATTAACCGATTACGTAAAAATAACCATCTACCTACACGACGCAATCTCCCGCTTGCGCGCGAACCGGGCGTGGCCTTTCAAATTTACCCGCTAACAACAAAGCAAGCTAACAAAGAAAGGAATTTTATTATTACGTATATAATAAAAAGGTATTTTACGTATTACGGACGGGCGTGATTGTAGCCACAAAATCAACCCAACGCTCCTGCCACCAAATTATTTAATTTTTATCAAATACTATGGTCGGTGGATCGACCGGGAATCGATCCCAGCACCGCGTTCTGCTACCAAATGATACGGCCAACAGCTGCCCTGCCTCAACAGGAGTTGGATCCTTCGCGGCCCATAGACGAAGGAGCTACGGGCAGATGCTGGTCGGGCGTTCCTACGCCGAGGGTCAAATGTTTCTAATGAACACACGAGGGGAAAGGTCACTAGGATAAATGCACTTACCTGCCCCAGGAGCGCAGACGATTCTCCTCGACCGGCCCGGCTGATGACAGTGTTGTGAGTGTATGTGTAATTGTATGTGCTGGTATGTTGACGGGAACCGATCTGGATGACGCAACGACGTCCGGGAGAAGGCACGCGCTGGTATCCCCGGAACTTTCCCCTTCTGGAGGCACTCGTAATGGGTTGTCACGAAAATGGGACAGCTACTCGTAGTCCTTCAGAGGTAAATCACTGTGATAGTTGCACGCGAATTTAACCGAGTTAGTACGTTCTAATAACGATACCGTTATTGCAACGATTTACGCGGATTGTTCCTTTAGCAAAGTTAGGCGCGAAAACATACGTCCGTATAGCTCGCAAGAAAATCCTACTATATTCGCGAGAAGTGCCACGCTGACGCGTCCGGCGGCCGGGGGGGGGAAGCGGGGGAGAGGGAAGGTGCCCTTGATAGCGAGGCCAAGCGCGCGCGTTAAAGACTACGTTTTTATTGTAAATTTTTCCTGCCTAAACAATCACAGTTACCTCTTTCCACGTAGTGGGAAAGTAACTAAGGTTGAAGCAGGCGTTGAAGATAATAGATAAAAGGGTTAACACCTGCTCGGGAAAGTTTTTAAGGGCTTGGTTGGATATGCCATCCGCGCCCGGAGCCTTTTTAGGTTTAAGTCCTTTAATGAGGGATGAAATCTCATCATTGGACACAGAGATAGGTTCGGAGGCCGTAGGGGGTGAGTTCCGGCGGCGGACCTCATCCTCCACTGCCTGGACGTGTGAAGGGTCGACGGGTTGAGAGCTAAGAGAGCATTGAGCGGCAATACTGTCTGCAAAGCACTCAGCCTTTTCCTCGTCCTCGAAGGCAACCGAACCGTCGGGGCGGGAGAGAGGGGGAGTGTGGGTTATAGCGTCTATACGGAGGGCTCTAGCCATCTGATAGTACGCTGTATGAGAGGGAGATATATTCTCCATGAGTTTACTCTTTTCGAGGTCTCGAAATTCAGAGAGGCGGAAACGGAGTTCTCGTTGAAGACGATTGGCCGTGCGCCTATATTCGGGCGTGGGATATTTTGCTGCTCTCCGGAAAGCAGCTTTCTTGGCTTTTAATAGGTTGCTAATATGTAAGGGAAGCCCACTATTCTTAGCAACCGGGACTTCCTTTTCATTCTCCTTAAGGGAGGTTTTAATAAGGGTGGAGAGTGAATCGACCGCGGTGTCGATTTTTTCGGGACTGTATAAGTCAGACGATAGGGAGATGGGAGAGTTCTGTGAGTCCAGAGTTTTCGCTAGGGACTCCTTGAAGCCCTTCCAATTTGTGAAGGTTTTAGTAGAGGGTGTTGGGAGTGGTGGCTGATGGCCAAGAATGAGAGAGACCGGTCGGTGGTCGGATCCTAGATCGTCTAGTGTCTCGATTGCCCTAAGGTTGAGAGAAACTCTTTTGAATAACGCAAAATCTAGTACATCGGGGGCATAGTCGGTGTTATCGGGAAAGTGAGTAACACCGAGAGGACTGTGGACGGTAATATCAAGAGACTGCGTGATATCGAGCAGTAACTTGCCACTACGGGTGGTAGTACGGCATGTCCATTCAGTATGCTTGGAGTTAAAATCTCCAAACATAATGACTGGGTTACCTAAAGATAAAATAGCCTCAAAATCTCTTTTGAGGGGAAGGGTTCCCGCGGGGATGTAGCAGGAGGCTATGAGAATGGACGGATGTCCAGTCATAGCTAGCCTGCATACCGTGGCTTCCATATTGGTAAACTGCGGAGTAGAAATGAGAGAGCAATGGAGTGTCTTCTTGTAATAAATGGCCGTACCGCCACCTTGGCGGTCGATCCTGTCATTACAAAGAAGAGAAAAGTCTTTAATAGAAAGGCCTTTAGTGTCCTTAGTTTTGAGGTTAGTTTCCTGTAGGAGGAGGAAATCGGCTTCACGACTTCGAAGAAAGAGCTTAAGTTCTGGGAGGTTATTTCGCAAACCGCGTATATTAAACGATACAAGCGACCGTTCCGACCGGCCCGTCTTTTATACGATTCGACCATTGCTGGCCAGCGGACCCTTGCCTCACCCCCGCGCCTTTCTTTATTTGGCAAATTTCTTATAAACTACTGTACAGACTTAAATATATTACATTTTTATAATTGCTTATTTAACTAATACTTATATAATAATTTTTCTACATAATACAGGTTAATACGTTATTATTTCCGCAATTTTGAGCTGAGAACCCTGCCCCCCGCCTCAGCACTATAAATATAAAACGTCGTGGAGCGGCGCGCGTAGCCTCATTCGCTCCGCGGCCGCGTCACGGTAACATGCCCTGTTTATTAGTTATCGTGCCTAAGGGCTTAATATATATGAAATTAAATTGAACTATACAAGGGAATATACTTTACACATTATACTTATTCTATAATTTG